AGTCCCACTCCAGTGACGGGAGCCTCCATGAGGCAGAGCTCACGGCCTTTCTCTCTCCAAAGCCTGCGTGGGGCAGTTAAGGGACGAGGACATGGCCCGAGCTGGACGCCCGCTTTGTCACTCAGCCTCTCGTGTGTGTCCTGGTCTGCGACTGCGTCTGCCTCGCGGGGCCAGGCCGGCCCTGGCTGGTTCAGAAGCGTGGGGCTAGGCACATGCCCTCCGCGCTCCTCACCCCAGCAATTCCCGGTCGTAGGGCTGAGGAGCTGGAAGAGGGCGTCCGGAGAGCCCACCCGGCCCGTAGCCGCCGGCTCTGCGGGCGGCGGGAACCAGCTCACTGTGCTGGGACGTCCCTCCGGTCCTCGGGCACCACCCAGTCCCAGGCGGGCGCAGCCGGGCCGGAGGGAGGCATGCCTGCTGCATGTTTCTGTAAAATACCGGGGAAGATGTGAGGAAGGGCCGGGCGGGCAGGGGTGCAGACATCACATTTCATTTTACGTGACCATTTACTCTGATGCTGAATAAGATGGAACTTGTCACTATAGCAACTGCTGCCTCCCACAGAGCCCTCCTGCCTGCCAGTCACAGAAAGGTATTGCACAGAGACCTCAGCCACGTGGCGCGGGCCTCACTCAGTGTCTCCCAATAAAGTCACGTTCGCGGCGTGGCGAGGCAGTTTATCACAGCCAACATATTTGGTGTGATTTTCTTCACTTTTGAGAAACAGGAAAACAGAGTGACACCCCTCCAGTGAAGGTCAGAAGTGACCCAGGGTCTCAGTGACCCTGGCCTGCCTTCCCCATGGGAGACGTCGGTGGGTGAGCATAGAACCTTCCAGGGTGGCGGCTGTAAATATTTTAATGCAGCTCCATGCAGATTTGCCTCTTAAAGCACAGGAACCAGCTTCCCTTAGGTGCACATTCTGCATTTAGGAGAAACAGGTTCAGTTTTGTCCGTCAAGAAATGCAGGTTGGAGTACAATAAAGGTGACTGCGCAACGCACAGGGAGGGGAAGTGGGTCTGCCCAGACTGCAGAGCCCACAGAGCAGAGCCCACAGTGCAAAGCCCACGGCATGGAGCCCACGTGTGAAGCCCACGGCATGGAGCCCACGGTGCGGAGGGAGGGGCTAGGACAGAGCAGCCGGCTCTTCTGCCTTCGGAGCTGGCAGAGGCCGCCAGGTCCCTGGATGGGCCCTGGGTGGGGTGCCGTCAGCGTCTTGAACTGGGGGCCACCTGGGGTGCATCCAATGTGCCTGTTTCTGGGAAGCTGTCCCATGGTTTCCTGGGCATCAGGGGATCTGTGCCTGCTGGTGTCCTGGGCTGCCGTGGGAGCACCCAGGGGTGGCACAGAGGGTCCTGGGTGTGACCAGGGAGGTGCCCGTCCTGCAGCTCCTTCTCCACAGGTTTCCCAGGCGCTTGTGGGCACGTCCCATGGCGTCACCTTGTCTCATTCCATCTCCCGCCACCTTCTGGCCCAGAGCTGCCCTCCGCCACTGTCCACTCTCCGTCCACACCCAGCTCCTCCTCCTCAGCTCCCGGATGGGCCGCGGGTCTAAGGTCCAGGGATCTTCGGTCACTCACTTACACGTCTGCCTGGGCCCAGCTCGGTGCCCTTCAGGCCGTAAATCAGTGCTGGCTGAGGTGACTGCGGGTGTTCTCTCAGGGACAGGGCAGTTCAGGGGAGGGAGGAGCTGGCTCCGCCCACTGGGCCGGGGCTCCCACCCAGGGCGGGGTTCCTCTCACATCCTCAGTGTGTCAACCTGAATATGTGCTGATTTACTTTGGTTGCACGATTTTTATTAAAAGTGGCATTAAAGATAAATGACAGACCGCACACGCCGATCGCCCCGTCACGGGCACGAGCCCTGGGGGGGCTGTGGGCAGTGTTCACAGCACACCCACCGCGCTCACAGCCTCCTGCGAGTCTATAAGGATTTCAAAATGAAAAGGTAAAGAATATGCTCAAGAAAATGTTGGAAAAGGAGAGAACTTGCTTTGGCCTCCCCCCACCCCCCCAGGACCGGCCTCAGGTCTGGGCGTGGTGACTGAGCCTCATCGCTGTGGACAGTTTCCGTGGCTGCCTTTGCCTTTATGGTTCTCAGACGCCTTTCTTTATAGTTTATTGTTTTGTTGATTTTAGAGAGGGGAAGGGAGAGAGAGAAACATCAATGTGGGAGAGAAACATTGCACACACCTGACAGGGGACTGAACCTGCCACCTGGAATGTGCCCTGGCCAGGGCCTCATCCGACTTTTACCAGAATCATTGAATTTGGTTTATTTGGCTAATACAATGTGATTAGTTACCTTACTATGCTTTTACATTTAGATCAGTTTGGGCTTTTCCCAAAGCTGCGTTTTTCCCATTCTCTTGCCTGGCGAACCTTGAGATAAACTTCTGGGAGTGTGACATTGAGCAGGAGGGCGAGATGTGTTTTTAAAGCTATGGAGGCTGCCGCCAGCCGCTGGTTAAAAGTAGGTCTTCATTACAGAAATCCCAGCCGTCCCCATGGAGGCCCCGGGGGACCTCCAGCCACCATTGGTGCAGGCCACCAGCACCATTTGAGCCGGGCTACCTGTCTCAGCCAACTTTGCAGGAGTCCCGGTCAGGGGGCCATCACTGCCCACACTCCCTGCGCACCAACCGGGCCCACACCTGCGTGAAAGCCGTTCTTGTCGGCAAAGCGCTAAATCCCGGATTCCGGTTCTGACAGCAGCCATGTACGCTCTCGGCATCTTCCCACAGACAGGAGAGGACCACGTGGGGCCCGGTGGGAAACGGAGCTGTGTCCAGGCATCCACTAGGATCCGCCCCCGCCCCTCATTCCCGTGGTGCCCGTGGCACGGAGCCACACTGCCCACCGCCACGCACATCGCATGACAAATTCACACAGACCTGAGGGTAGCGTGTGAGCACAGATTGGACATTTTAGGGCAGCGGTTCTCAACCTGTGGGTCGCGAGCCTTTCACAGAGGTCGCCTAAGACCAATGGAAAACACATATATAATTACATATTGTTTTGTGATGAATCACTATGCTTTAGTTATGTTCAATTTGTAACAATGACATTGGGGGCCACCACAGCAAAGGGTCGCGGTGTTAGGAAGGTTGAGAACCACTGCTCGAGCCCCTGAGAAGCAGGAGAGCTCCTTTCCAGCCAGAAGAGGCCCTCCCGGTTCAGCTGCCAGATGGGTTCCTCTCTACCCACTGCCAGTCCTGCCCTTCCCCGGCAGGGCCAGCCTCACATCCAGACACACTCCTAGCCTGCCCTGGACACCAGAAATATCCGTGCTGCGGAAACAGCCCTTCCGTGGGCACCGGCGGTCCTGGGGCCCCATCCCTCCCACCTCCTCCGACGGGTCCTGTCAGTCCCCGTGTGCGTCCTGCGCTGTCACAGGAGCATAAGCCGCAGGCGCCGCGCTTGCCCGAGAGCCGCCCCTGCACGCCTGCTCCCCGTCAGGGCGGAGCTGCTGGTGGTGAAAACGGCCAGTTACACAGGCTCTCGTGTGGGAGCAGGATTTGTGGCTGCGGGGAGATTTCCCCCAAGAAAGCGGCGGGTCTCAGCCATCAGCAGGAGCCCTCATGACAGCTGCCCGATGGACAATTGTCCGAGACGGCGAGGCCATGAAATCTAGTGTCTACAGCAACGGCAAAGGCCGGTTTGGTCCACGCGGACTCAGAGTGGCCACACCCCTTCTAAGAGGGAGCAGCGCTGTTCCGTCTGCAGTCAGTTCAGCTGCCTGGAGACCAGGATGCGCCCCGCAGGCCTCGGGCGCTGCCAGCTGCACTTGCTGACCGAGTGTCAGGTCAAGCGCCTCCTTCCGATACCAGCGGAGCGCGCCTGGCCGGAGCTGCCGGGACTCACATCCTACTGTGGAAGCGCCGGCCTTGTAGCACCTCCCCACAGACACGTCCCAAAACGGCTGAGATACAGTACCCCCCCCCCCCCGCCCCGAGGGAAGGGCAACTCCCCGGCCCACTAGTGCACAGTGAACGAAACAAGTTCTGACGGTTTGTGTGTTCTGACGGTTTCACTGTTTTTCTTACTCATGACTGCTTCCTCAGAGGCCACCAAAAACAGTCACATTAGCCGGCACTGGCACCGGCACCAGCATCTCAACCATTGGACGGCTCACCTGGCACCAGCCAGTCAGCCGCCCCAGCACGCGACGTTACTGGGCCACCACACTGGCCGCGACGCAGGCCTCCACGCCGACAGCACACCGCGCACCGACGCATCTCAGGGCAGCCCCCGCCACTCACCGACCCCACTCCGGCTTGAAGAATCCGCAGTCCCGACGATCTTTCCAGTTTGTCCTTGTTGCTGACTGTCGGGAAGAAGAAGAAGCACAGGGTTAGCGCGGGGCCTGTCCTCTGCTGGACACGGCGTGCCCTCCCTGCGCTACCCCAGTCCCAGCGCCACACTGGGCACAAGCCACAAGAGGGAGACCTGAGGACCGGCCCCCCTCCCCCCTCCAGGCAGAAGGTGCCGTCCCAGGAGACCCAGACCTGCTGGGAGAAACGATGGGATGTGGCTGCCAACAGCGAGGTCTTATTTTAGAACAAAATGACGGTCCTCATGACATGCTCACTGGGAACCAGGCCCGATGACTGGCCCCCTGGGCGGCGGGCGCTTCCCTCTCCTCTCCAATTCAGCTTTGGCAGATCCTCCCTCGTTTGCCTCTGACACAGGATGAGGAGGGCAGCAGTGAGTCTGGGCCCAGAAACCAGGTCCCCAGGATCACACCATGACCCAGCACCCGGCTCGCACCATGACCCAGCACCCAGCTCCCGCCATGACCCAGCACCCGGCTCGCACCATGACCCAGCACCCGGCTCGCACCATGACCCAGCACCCGGCTCGCACTATGACCCAGCACCCGGCTCGCACCATGACCCAGCACCCGGCTCACACCATGACCCAGCACCCGGCTCACCCCACAGACCCAGCACCTGGCTCACGCCTCTGACCACCGTGTCCCTGAGTGCTGTGCCCTCTGACCATCAAAGGGAGGTCATGGCAGACAGCAGCCTCCATGCAGAGCCACCCCACCTGGAGGAGCCCCATTTGAAGAGGCCACCTTAGCTCCTACAACAACCCAACAACACAAGTAACCAAGGCCCACTCTGCTGAGATACAGCAAAGTCGTGTTGGTAGAAAAAACAAATGTGCATTTGCTTGCATGTGTATAAAACACCATTCAATTCAATACGTATCATGCTCCTGGGAGGATGTCCCTGGCCAACTACGATGAATCTCTCTCTCTCTCTCTCTCTCTCTCTCTCTCTCTCTCTCTCTCTCTCATTTTTAAATCCTCACCTGAGGACCTATCTTTAATTTGAGAGGGAGAGTGAGAGAGAACCATCAGTGTGAAGGGAGCATCCATCAGTTGCCTCCTATACGCGCCCCACCCGGGGAGCAACCCTACACCCTTCCTGGTGCACAGGATGGCACTCCTGCCAGCTAAGCCACCCAGCCAAGGCCACCATGACTTTCTCTTGAGAGTTAGAGAATTTTTCCTGTTAATTTGCAATTCAAATATATAATTTATACTTGCATTTAATGACATGTTAGATACCGAGGAGGACCTATAAAATATGTGTTGGTTACAAAGAATAAGACAACAAATGCCATGATACCCACACTCTGAAAAAGAAATGAAACATAATTACATCTGTACTTCATCTCAACTAATTCAATAATAAAAAAGCAATCACATTTGATACCCTACCCATGGTCGGCAAACTGCGGCTCGCCAGCCACATGCGGCTCTTTGGCCCCTTGAGTGTGGCTCTTCCTAAGCCTTAGGAGGACCCTAATCAAGTTAATAACAATGTACCTACCTATATAGTTTAAGTTTAAAAAATTTGGCTCTCAAACGAAATTTCAATCGTTGTACTGTTGATATTTGGCTCTGTTGACTAATGAGTTTGCCGACCACTACAAGCCCTGTGGCCCCACTCACTCCCCCCCGAATTCTGGGTAGATCGGTTCTTTTTCTGGACTTTTTCACCCGTGTCTGCTGCTTATTTTGAACTTAAGCATGTTCCTCTCTGACTGGCTCCCCCCGACCTGTGTCTGGGGCTCCTTTGTTCAGAATGTCCCTGTGGGTGTCGTGTCCACGCCGCGTGGCTATTACACGATCCATTTCTCCAGCCAGCTGTCTGGCTCAGTGGACACCGGGCTATTTCTCCTTTACCTGCCCATCCAGGGACTGCCATCTCGGGCACACACAGGAGGTTTCCTCCCGTGGAGTCCCCTGGACACAGAGTCCCAAAGTGATGGCGTCAGTGACCCTCCTACCGTCAGCTTGTAAGAGTTTCTTTAAAAAAGTGATGCATTTAATTATTTTAATGGAATGTATTGGGGTGACACTGGCTAACAGAATTACACGGGTTTCAGGTGCACGTTTCAGAACACATCACCTGACACTATATTGTGAGATCGCCACCCCAAGTGAAGTCCGGGTCCATCACCATTGATCCCCCTGGACCCTCTGCCCCTCCTTCCCCCTCCCCAGGCAAGCACTCCTGTTGTCCCTGTCCGTCCCAGGCAAGCACTCCTGTTGTCCCTGTCCGTCCCAGGCAAGCACTCCTGTTGTCCCTGTCCGTCCCAGGCAAGCACTCCTGTTGTCCATGTCCGTCCCAGGCAAGCACTCCTGTTGTCCAAGTCCGTCCCAGGCAAGCACTCCTGTTGTCCATGTCCGTCCCAGGCAAGCACTCCTGTTGTCCCTGTCCGTCCCAGGCAAGCACTCCTGTTGTCCCTGTCCATCCCAGGCAAGCACTCCTGTTGTCCCTGTCCTTCCCAGGCAAGCACTCCTGTTGTCCATGTCCATCCCAGGCAAGCACTCCTGTTGTCCATGTCCATCCCAGGCAAGCACTCCTGTTGTCCATGTCCATCCCAGGCAAGCACTCCTGTTGTCCATGTCCCTGAGTTTCTCTAAGAGTTTCTATCGCCCAGAGCCTCACTGTCAGACTCAATCACCTTTGCCAACTTGGTAGATGCAGCAGTGTATCTCCCGGGGCTTCCCCTGCCCCCTTTCCATTGCTAACTAGGCGAGCACCCTGTTCACCTCGGCTTCCTCTCCCAGGCGTTCTCCTCTGCTCTGCCTGCTTTTCTGCTGGGCTGGCTCTTCCTGTTGCTTTAAACACCCCCCACGAACACTGTCGGCATACGGGCTGCCAAGACCTCACCGCAGTTTGTGGTTCGGCTTTTTAAAATTCCAATAAGGTCTAAGTCATCATTTTGCGTAAGGTTTGCGCTCTGGGTGTGCATCAGCGATCCCCAGGCCGGGTCCAGCCGCCGCTACTAAGCGGGTGTCACAAAAAGGGAGCCCCAGACGCCTCTGTCTCCCTGTGCGTGTAAAGCTGTTTACACTCCGTGTTCTGTTACGTGCATGACAGCATCGTGTCGGAAAAACAGTCAACATGCTTTAATGAAAAATACTTTATTGCTGAAAAGCGCTGACACCACCCGGGCCTCCATCGAATGGCACTCTTTTTGCTGGAGGAGGGTCCGACTGCGTGGTGGCTGCGGACGATCAGGGTGGCGGCTGCTGAGGTATTTTTATTCAACTCTTCTTTTTAAGTCCTCGTTTTTGAAAGCCCTTTTCTCTCAGTATAATTCTAGGCGTGTGTGGGGGGCCCAGCGGACGCTGTTGGCCAGCATCTCCCGCAGCAGCGCCCCTGCCGCCCAGGCCCCCGTGCCCTGCTGCTCCCCCTGAGCCTCGCGGGCTCAGTCCTTGTTTCCCGTCTGCACCCCGTCTTCGCCAGGAGCGGATCCCACCTCAGGAAACCCTTTTCTCTGCTCGTCCACAAGAAGCAAGCCCTCGTCCGAGCAGGTTCCACCCCGTCTTCCGCCCCACTTGCAAGCCCCGTCCTGCCGCCGGCCCCGCCGCATGGCGCTGGCTGCCTCCACGGAGCGCACCCCACGGGCATCGCGGGCCGGACCCACGTCCACAGCGGCTGCTCCCTTTGCTCACTGTTCCTTCTGCATCTCACATCTTCCTTCGGGGCTTCTTTTCTTTTGTCTGTAGGAAATCTTTTTGTATTAACTTAAATGAGGATCCATTGGTGACAAGCTCATTTTTTTGAAAGTATCTTTATTCACCTCTTTTTAAGTCCTCATTTTTGAAAGACATTTTCTCAGTGTAATTCTAGGTTGACAACTATTTCCCCTCAGAAGTAGGAAGGCTTTTCTCCCCACCGTCTGGCTCACTCGGCCGCTGGGAGCCTGCCCAGGCCCGCTCCTTCCAGCCGGATGGCCGTCCCCCGCCTCGCCTGCGTTAAGACCCTCCCTTGTCTGCGCAGCTTCTCTGTTATGGACGCAGATTGGAAATGTGTCACTCCAATAGACGTACTGAGTTTGAGAATCGGTATTTCCACAGGTGACATACATTTTCAGCCGTTGTATCTTCAGGTAGCGCCTCTCGACGCCTGTCCTGCCCGGGACTCCTGTTAAGTGTATATGAGGTGGTCGTGCCTTGTCTTCTAAGACTCCTTACTTTTAAAATTCATGCATTTCTTTTCTTTATCGCTCTAGGCCAGTGATGGCGAACCTATGACACCTCTGACACGCGAACTCACTTTTTTGGTTGATTTTTCTTTGTTAAATGGCATTTAAATATATAAAATAAATATCAAAAATATAAATCTTTGTTTTACTATGGTTGCAAATATCAAAAAATTTCTATATGGGACACGGCACCAGAGTTAAGTTAGGGTTTTTCAAAATGCTGACACGCCGAGCTCAAAAGGTTCGCCATCACTGCTCTAGGCTGCATTCTCGATAATTTCTCCAGTTCTATCTTTTAGTTCACTCATTCCCTCTTCAACTATATCTAATCTGCTTTTATACTCATTTCTTGAGTTTAAACTTTCTATTTTATCTTCCATTTAAAAATTCTATTGTTTTAATATTTTTGAGGCTCTTAATCGCTGGTTCATATTTTACCTCCCTCTTGTAGATTCCTTTAAGCAGATGAAAATACTTAAACTTATGTTCTAGGTCTCGTCATTGGACCCTCCGGGTTTATTTTGTCCATCCTTTCAGCCGCCCTTTGCTCACGGCTCCTTCTTCTCCAGCATGTTGCTGTAAACTCCTGGGATTTTAACTGTGGGAGCCCTTTGAGGACAGAGAACATGGCGGGTTCCTCCAGTGAGGACGTGAGCTTCCTTCCCTACGCTAACTTCCTCACTTGGGTTTTAGGGGCCACGTGGGGGTGCATGTGGGCAGCGTGTTCCTGTGAGGCCAACTGTGCTCAAAGCCCTGGTGTGAACCCACTCCCCACCTCCCCATCTTGGTGCTGAGCACGGAAGCCCTAGGGGC